ACACCTGCATGCTATTCAAAGGCTTCTCTCAAAGTGTATTACTAACTAGCTTTGCTTTGCTTTTTGTCAGATCGTTGCTGCTTTCTATTGTTCACTTTTTGCTTTTGATTTAATTTCTTCATAGTTGCGGTTAATCTGTTTCAATTTTGTTGTTCAAGAAAAAAAAAAACAACTCCTGGAATCATCTGCCCAGCAGCTTTGTCTTTGCCTGTGTTTGAGTCACCATCCACTGCAGTTGTTGTGACATGAGTCACATACTTTTAAAAGTTTTCTACGAAACAAAGAAGGGGGAAAAAATCCCCTTTTACCGTAAAACTGTGGTCAACCCGAGGGTCTTTAGGAAGAAAAAGTTATATTCTTGTCAAACAGGAAGGAAAGAGTGAAGCTCTGAGATTTGGACAGGAATGTTTTTGAGGATGTTGCTATGGTAATCTAGCAGAGTGTTCTGTTTTTTGGTTATTTTCAAAAGTCATACAGGAAGTAGACTTGATCATTGTAGGTCTCATTCCTGCTTGTCATGCACAAGTGTCCAGGCAAACACAAGACACCGTTTGTATTTCTCCTAGTGCTATATTAGTTCAAGAGTGAAGTCTGAGAAGTCCAGAATATGCTTACTCAGCTCTCTGTTTTCATCCTTTTCCAATTTCTTTAAGATGATATAGATCAGCTTTTTCCTTCTTATTATCCTTTTTTGTTTCATAGAGCCAAGATTAGCACAGACTTCTCCCAGATGGAGTTCTTCCCACACACACACACAGCCAAAACAAAGTTCTCACCTATCCTTCAGCAGCTGGACATGGCTGAAACAATAACAAAAAACTCAACACAGCACTCACATACGAGCACTCTGACATCCAGAGGTTGTATTTCTGGCCACAGGTTTGTGTAGTCTGGGCAGCTTATTGTCACCTTTCAAGTTGAAACTCAACATCCGCTCTGCTAGAAATCTGTTTTTGCACAGCGGCGGAGATGACCTGCTGCTGCCCTGACTGACGCTGCAGAGCAGAAAGGCAGGATTTATCCCAGCTCTCTACCCCACATGTCTGCGAGACACTCAGGATGAAATACTGCTCCTAAATGACACGGACAAGTCGGTGAAAGCAGGCGCATAGTGTGAGAAACAGAAACCCATGCACAGAAAATGGATTTCTGCACTTTTCATTCATTGTGTGTTAGTTTTAGGTCCGCCTCAGTCAAAAGGACTAAAATCAATCAAAATGGATGTTTTTCACCTCCCAGATCAGAGCTGGTTAAAGGGTCACACGCTCACTGTGCTCAGACATTCACTAATCTGCTTTCTGTCCGCCGTCACAAGTAGGTTTGTGCTTTTAGGTTTTCTCATCTTTCACAAAAATTAAAATAAAACAGAAAATGGTAAACCTGTTCTGTCCGTCTGACAAAGCGTTGCTGTTAAATTACATTGAGTACTCAGCAAGTATGCTAACTCCTGATTAAAAAAGAGTGGAGGGTTTAAGTAAAAGGTTTTTGTCTCTGTAAACGTTCTCTGAGGCAAACGAACCACCAGATGACAAGTACATGGAGGGATCACCGTTAAACTTTCTAAGTAGCAATAAAAAAGGATCTTAAAGTGCGGTCCAGAAAAGAAAGAAAGTAGCCTTAAAGCTAATTATTAGCAGCACACGAGGGAAAATATTTATTTGAGAATTTAATGAGTGCCAGAAAGAATGCAACGCAACACATTTAATTCAATTTAGTTTATTTATATATGTCCAAGTCACATCAGAAGTCATCTCAGGGCACTGAACAGAAACATTCATATATGAAAAAAAGTATGTTAATAACATTATTTATGTGAGGAGCAGACTGCGTTGAATTTAACTCCATCACAGACTCTCATCTTGAGCAAGCATGAAGGCGACAGTGGAAAGGAAAACCTCCCTCATGAGGAAGAAACCTTTAGTAGAACCAGGCTCAGGACAAGTGGCCATCTGCTTCGACCGGCTGAGCATGAGAAGAATAGATACACAATGGCAAGTCAAGAATCACATGTTAATATAGAAATGGTATCAAATGAAAACTATTAAAATTTTACAATTCATTAAAGGAAATGAAGTTAATTTGTCCTCTAGTAGTCTAAGCCTATAGCAGCATAACAAGCTGACCCTAACTCCCATTAAGACTACCATTACCACTGTCACATTAAAAGTTAAGACTTGTGATCTTTGGAAAGCCTATTAGCTATCAGCATGTTACCTGTTGTTGATGGCTCTTAGAACAACATTTTTATAACCATAAAAAACTATAAATAATTGTAAACAAAGACTATTATCCTGACTACAGATGAGTGGTAGAAGATGGAGATGAAGACTTGAAGTAAAAAGAAATTGAATGCAGAGTAGAAGTTGTTAAATGTTGTTGCAGAACAGCAGCAATCCACTCAGACTAGCTGTTAGAGATTGTTCAAAGAGTTATCTACAACAGGTAAGATAATAAATGCTCATGGCTTTTCCACAAAACCCCACCTGGAAAAGTCTAAACTTCTGCTTTTAGCGTTTAGTTTCCATTTCATGTACAGTATTCACGGTGAACACTGTTGTCATGTTTCTCATGTTTCTGCTTCACTCAGAAAATCATCCGCAGCAACCATCTGCAACCGCCCGTGTGACCTGAACGTGCTTTAAGTGCTGCCATCATACCACATAAGAGCAGGTTATAACTCCTTCTTCCTTAACAATGCTTGACCTGGCAGCAGGTTGTCAGCCTGGGCTGAAAGGAGCTCTGTCATTCAGCTCCTGCCCTTTTCCTTCTGCTGCCATTAACGCGTGTCCGTACGGGCCGAGCAGTGGCACACAAATAAACTGTCAGCAGAGTCACATGTTTGTAGCAAGCTGCAATGTTTCCCCAGAAACTCCAACTGGCTTTCCTCACTGTTAGCACCCTGAACCTGTTAACATGACCCTCCCCAAGCCCATGGCCCTCCCCTCAGCATCTTACACCACTGTTTTCCCTGAAACAGCTGCGGAGCAATGTTAAGTACCGCATGATGTGCTGCTAAACGCTCCCCTCTGAATGTAAAAAATCCTTCACGTGTGAGTCTGAGGAGCCTCGATCATCATTTCCTGTGTTGCACAGAGGCCAGAGGAACATTTAGCTGTTGCTATAGCTGCACTGGCAGGGAAGAGCATCAGAAAAACAGAAAAGGTCCAACTCCAGAGTGATGCAACAAGCACCAGTGAAGCTGTAATGTGTCGGAGCGTAGTTGAGCATGTGGCACGGCTGAATCTGTGATATTCCTGTGTTGAGTCATTAATTCTGATTAAGAGCAAAAATAATACATTATTGTTGGTGCAAGCAGTTTATAAAAATATACTGCAGGCCTCTGCATGACAAAGATATAACATTTACATATATATATATATATATATATATATATATATATATATATATAGATAGATAGATAGATAGATAGATAGATAGATAGATAGATAGATAGATAGATAGATAGATATTTATTTATTTATTTATTTATTAATCCCAGGGGGGAACTTTGTGGCATGCAGTAGCATTTTCTCATCGTACAGAAAAAATACATATGAAATAATCAAAAAAGAAGCAGAATACACAAATATGGAAAAAGTCTAATATGCGCATGCACAAGCTGGTAGTGAGTACTAGTTATAAGTTATAACAGCATAGAGATGGAGTCACAGCACATCTAATGAAACCAACAGGAAAAACTGCATCTTTCCTTAATACAAGTATTAACATCAAGCAGAAACACTAAAGTAAAAATATGGAGAACCTCTTCAAAGTTTTCTTTTGATTGTGTAATACACGTCTCAAACTCACCATTTAGCAGAGCAGAGGCTTTAAAAACCTATTCATGTGTAAATGACCTTCTTGAGAATCATTGAGCTGATTTTAAAAAAGAGATATTTTTGATAAAAGTAATGGCACATTCTCACATTTGCCCTCAGGATACGAACAAAACCACACGTTCAGCTCATCATGTAGCATGACTTTCTGTGTGTGACCAAATCCAAATGACAGAAACACTGAATGAATCCAATTGTGTTCTATGAACTCAATATTCTTCGTAATTATCATCATGGACAGATCTGTTGTTTTTGGATTAGCATTGTAATATAAACTTGGCAGTAAATCAGCAAGAAACAAAGGCAGATTAAGGCATTTTTCACCAGCTGGAGCTTGAAGAAACCTGGAGCAACATGGGGCGTGCTTGCAGCATTACTGCAGCTTCACTCAGAGTAAATGTCTCAGCAAGTTTCATGTTTGATCTCAGTTAGAGGTTTTATGGGTGGTGTTGGTGTCCATAAAAATATATTTGTTACACTGCTTTTTTTTTACAGTAATGGTGCCATTGCAAATTTTCAAAAAACGGTTTTGCTGATTTGCGTAGAAAAAAATCAAGCAAACTGCAATTATTGCATCAAACAGGTAGCTGATGAGATTGAAGTAAATATATAATGTGATAAAAAATGTCAGTAGACCTGACCTGATGAGATTGTTTTAACACAACTGGAGTAAATCACACCAAATGCATGTGCAGGTGTCATCAGATTGATGCAGATCCTTACAGAACGCTTGGTAACAGTTGCAAGACACAACATGGAGGTAGTTGGAGTGAGGACAGAGGATGCAGAGGACAGAGTGAGATGGAGGAGGATGACTTGTTGTGGTGACCCCTGAAGAAGGACAAGTCGAAAGAAGAAGAATGTTTAAAATGCTTATTTTTTTATGAGTTAAGAGGAGATGTGGAACAAATCAGAGGTTAATTGCACACCAACCTTAAAAAAATAATAATAATAAAAGAAGAAATAGCATGCAAATAAAACCACTACAAAAGATGCAATAAGTCCTAAACAAGTGTTTCACTCACTGACATTTCACTTGTGAATGTAGAAGCTGTTCTTCACCATTAACTGTTTGTCAGACGCACAGAGTGGAACAAGCTCTGCTGACATGTTCCATCAGAAGAACCTGAATGTTTTCAACATAAACCCTTTTTACTCCCACAGAAACCACTGTGCATACATGGTCCAGAAGAACGTCACATGCATCATGCAGGAAGGAGTGGAAACCTTTGTGAATGCAGAATACACCACCAAGTGCATCTGGGGCCAGAAATGTCCTGTTGTCATGTGAGTCCATCATTCTGAACAACAACATGCAAACCCTGAAAATCTGTTTTATAGTCATACCAGTGAACACAAAACGATTTACTGTGAGATTTAAAATAAGTTAGGGCTTTATTTACGCCAAACTGGAAGCCAGAACCAACTTTTAAACATGCAGTGTGTTAGTGCTGCCCTCTAGTGGCAAGATGATGAACTGCTTCTATTCCGCTGGTCTTCAGCAGATTCCACTGGAAGAGAAAAGATTGTTTTCTGAACTGAATATGATCTGAGGAGGAAAACAATAAATTTATCTTTACATAAAAAATGTGTATGTTGCCTATAATAATAGTTCCAGCTCCACTGTGGTCTTTTTGTCTTTCACCTGGTCTTCTGCTTTTGTGAATTTATAGCATGAACATAAAAGAAGGTGTTTGTCATTGTAGGTGGATTATTTTCCAGTCTACAGTGTAGAGCCTGTTATTGACATTCTGAAGAATCCTTCAGATTTGACTGTTTTGCGGTGGATGTGATTATTTTTGTTATTTCTCATCCGTGTAATGTGCATTTGAAAAACCCACACACAGAGGAACGTTAAAGTGGATTTTATCTTCAAAAACAAACGTTAAATCTCTCTGTGTGTGTGTGTGTGTGTGTGTGTGTGTGTGTGTGTGTGTGTGTTCTAAGTGAAGCGGGGAAGTTTGATGTTAAACAAGATAATATCAAAGTTGGAGGTGCTGACCTGCATCCAACCCTCTGAAGCCATGTCTTTTATGCCATACTTTATCTTAATCTCCTAATCTTCCTATAATCCATGTTTAATCCCGTAAAGAACAACTTCATCCACCATTTTTGCATTATCTTCCCATCCCTTAGTGCTCCTGGCAGAATTTGTTTAAAAAAAAAAGACACTAGAGACAGTACAAACCCTCTTGCTGGTTCTTTGACACAAACACTTTCATGTTCCTTTCTTCAGGTACAGGACTTTCTTTAAGCCGAAGTACAAGGTGGGTTTCAAGACAGTCTCGGAGCTTGAGTGGAGATGTTGCCCCGGTTTCTCTGGAGAAACATGCTATGATGGACCTACATCACTGCCTGACATCATAGGGCCGAGTCTCCCCCATCGTCCAGGTGTGAAAGGTTTTCCCCACGGCCCCAGACCCCCTGTGGACCAGAAGCCTGGAGGAGGCCGGCTGGAGCCGGGCAAACCCTTCCCTGACGTTATCGCAGGACAGCTGCCTGCTGGGAGAGGAAAACCCAACACTGGTGAGATCTGATTCCACCTGGGTTTTATTAAGTCTTGAGGAACGTGGCTGCCAGTCACCTCACTGTGTTTTTCTGTTTGTCTTAAAATCCCAGGTACCAAAGTATCAGGAGTCACTGGTGACCGTTTGGACCGTATGGAGGAGGATCTGCGTCGCCTAACTCAGGGTCTGGATACCCTCAGTGGAGTGGTGGCTGGACTTGAGGAGCGGCTGCGCACATCCCTCCGGGAGGACACCAACAAGCTGCTGGTGTCGCTGCTGCCCAACGCTCCTCAGGTGCACGACTCCACCGTGGGATTTGGTGTGCTCCCAGTCGGGAGTCCTGATGGTCTGGAAGGAGGACAGCCCTTTGCTGGATTTGGAGACATAGCAGGGAGAGTGACAGAAGTGAGGGACGAGCTGCGAGCCAAAACTCACATGTTGGAGGAAATTCAGGTACTTTATCAAGAAAGAAGGACAAGTCCTGTTACATCTGTATCAGATGCTGCTTTTACTGTATCATCTTCTTAATGTGACTCTTTAGGGAATGGTCTTGGGCCATGATGGTCAGCTGAAGACACTTTTGGAAGGAGTTGGAGGCAAACCCATCTATGGTCCAGACTCCACCTCTTTTGTGGATGAGATCTTGCACACCAAACTGGCTGAGGTGAGGGCTGAGATCCTGGATGGCTTTGAACATCGTCTAACTGGCCTGGAAAGCCACTGTGATGAGAAGATTGGGGAGGTGAAGAGGCAGTGCCACAGGGAGCACATGGACGGCCAAGAGCAGATGCAGCATTCTCTGGACGGCAGAGAAACTGGGCTCAGGGAGGAGCTGGGCTCTCTGCAGGCTCAGATTCAGGGTCTGACTCTGACTGAGAGCTGCTGTGGACAGGTATGACTCATTTCAGTACGACAAGCACAATTACATGAAAACTGTCAGTCAAATTCATTAAGTAACCTTCTGTCAAATAAACTGATGGAAATCTGTCTGCATAGCAAACTGTAAGGCAGGAAATGTTTACCATAAAACACGTCATAAGCAGACAAAGCTAATTAATGAACCATCAATCTACAAACTGGGAGGTGAATTAATATACAGTGAAGTGTTTAATGTTAAACTCCTACATGCCCCCAATTATGCTTTCATAGACAATTACCGTATATTCCGGCGTACAAGTCACAGGTTTTTTTTGCATAGATTTGTCAGTCCTGTGACTTATATACGTTTTTTTTTTTTTCGTATTCATAACACAATTTTTGACTGATGCTTTAAATTTCTAAGAACTGCAACAGTAAGTCCTCCCATGCGTGCTTGCTTCACTCAGCTGGTGCAGATGGATGGATGGATGGATGGATGGATGGATGGATGGATGGATGGATGGATGGA